TGGAGTTGAAGACCGGACCAAGTGAGATTTTGTGCCGCCATACGTGACCAGTTGAATTTCGCCTATCCAGCAGGGTCCTCGGTGCAGCGAAATTGAGGCCTGGGTAGTTGACAGAAGCACTGTATGAAAAACAATCCACTGTGAGAAGTTCCTCCGCATAAGTGTGGTCTTCAGAGTAGGCTTCAAATCGCAGGTCGTTAAGGTGCACTCCGGGTTTTGCACAGAAGCGGAATTTGAGAGTTTGGTATTCTTTAAACATCATTTCGACAACGTTCGGCCCCACAAGTGACAATGAAATATCCTAGAAATGCACCAAGCACCATACGTGCATGTTCTCACACAGTTTATCTGCCACGAATAAAAGAAACCCGAGTACTCCCTACTTACATCGACTTATTTCTATTCTCAATGCCCTCTGAAAAAATTTCCTTTGTTGTCGACTTTCTTGCTCATCTGAACCATCTTATTCTACTGGTTGTAATTTACAAAGGATATTAAGCCTCCAATACAAGTCTTTGATATGGGAATAATTTTTAGACTGAATTTACTTTACAGACCTTTTCGTGTTAAGAAACACCTAATACCATATCGAAACGGCACATCAGCATCATCCAACTTACGTGTTTGCTAAATGGCTTCTCACGTTGCACGTTGGACGAACTCGATATGGTAACGGCATCTGTGACGGTGTAGTTTTCCAGATTCCCCCTCACGATTATGTTTGCAAACCATGGAATTCTAGAGAATATCGCTCGTACGTAGCATGCCACGATGACCTAAAACAATAAATAGTCAATAGCACCAACCTTAATTCATTTGAAATACAGTGGCCAGGTGTGTAGAGTTCATGGAGTCAATTCAGAGAAGTAAGTGAAAACTGCCCGGAATGTAAGGCATCTCAAGAAATGGAAGCAAACTAACCTTCGAGTTGACGTTATCCTTGACGAGTAGAGTCCCCATGTCAAAGATGTACTTCTCGATTGGATGCTGGTTACTAAAAATCAAGAGCATCCATTGGGGACGCAGTAGGAGTAGTCGAATAATTATCTTAGCTTAGTGCCTCTTCCGTTGCTTTATTATTATTCAATTTGCATCAACGCTCTCCCACGTGGTTTGGATGTTTATTTTAATGACCTCAAGTAAACATCCCAGATTTCCAAAAAAATGAGCAGGAACAAGTGCTTGAATCCAATTTTAATTTCGTCCTACATTTCCTGATTCCATTAGTTGAAACAATTAATGCATTTTCCATCTTAACAGGCACTTCAACGAAGTATGCCATATATCGAACTCGTGTCATTTTCCACACGCCAGTTTTAATTTAAGTCGCTGTGAAGCTCATTTTTCTCAACAAGATAAATCAGAACAGTGGCTCATTTCGCTTGCTGCCTGCGAAAGTCAATTTGAAGAAAGCCAGATTTTCGTTCTTAAAGAACTTGTCAATGTCAGATTTAAATTGTTCAGCTAAAGTGGGAAATGAGATTAGACCACGGGGACAGCCTGGGCAAGCCTTAATGGGAAAGTGTGATTTCACATGGCAAAATGCGCTTAAAATGATTCGTTGCTAACTACTTAGATCTGAATGCAACAACTTTCTGTGCGGAAGACATGCACACAGATAAACAAATACATTTAACGTTTATACGCGCACGCAACTGTTTTGCGTCCTAACGTATTGTTTAAGCTTCGAGTTCCAAAATGACAATCAGCGTTAATGCATCGCAGACCCTGGGAGCGCACGTTAGCGTAGTCATTTGTTACTAGCGTCTGACCTACAAAGACGCATTGAGTTTGCAGTTCTGACTAACAAAATCGCCTACCTCGTTTAAAAGTATAGTGAATACTACAAATGTACACATCAAACTAATTTTACCAATAACCTGCAACTAATTCGATGCCCTTGTTTCTCACCATTTCAGTACATCTGTGCTAAAGAACAACTACTATTAGAGGGCAGGTCACTAGCTCCATTGAACTTATTTTCCACTATCACGAATAGCGAAAGTCGACACAATCGTTTGTCGTTTATGATCAATTTACTGCATTTTTCTATGGAATATTTTTCCTCCTTTGCATTTTTCTACCTGGATAAATGCGAAAACTTGTTTAAATTGATTAAAAAATTTGCCGAACCTAATTTGAACAAAGAGTTAAGCAATTTTGTTACCTTTAACGGACCTGTCAGCATTGTGCACTGCATTTTTTTGGAAAGGAAACCTACGTTTCTTGAGTAATTGCACAAGTGTTTAATCATGCCGCATTATCAGTGCAACGACAACGTTATTTATAGCATTCAAGGCAAATTAAATAGTCCTTAAGTGTCGCAATTTTACACAGTCAAAATAAAATAGTAGAAAACAATCTTTTTCATCTTACCCATGGTGAGAACGGTCACTTGCCTAACAAGATGAAATGAGAACAATCAGTTTCTAGGATTTTAGGTGAACGCAGGTTGGCAGTAAGTAATAATCCGATAAAGAAAACAAAGTTACCCAAATCCCGAATACAACATGCAAATTAAAAGGTCCAAATTTGCATATTTGGCTTACACCTTATCAGCCGTTATGCAATTTTGGTAGTTTTCGGCCCAATAGACGCTTTCGCCGACAGCGAGAATGTGCGGGGAATCAAGTGTGGCATCACCGCCACTCACAATCTCAATGAAAGGCTTTGAGTTCACGGCTGTGGTTGGTGGCACGGTGAACTCAAACTCAATCAGAGCTACCTCTCCCGGAAGAAGTGGTCTGTTGAATGGTGTCCGTGTGAGCACGTCAAGAACCTTTATGGTCCAGGTCGTAGGGTCCAGTGGTTGTGGCTAAAAAGGTGACAGTTTGAAAAAAAAATGTATGAAAAAATGACAATAGGAAACATTTCGAGAATGTTCGAGTCAGTTGCAATCAAAGGTTACCGCGCTGTCACAAAATTGGCTAATTAATTTAATTAATTTCTTATCAAATATTGCAATCCCATGTTACTCTTTTTCGTAAAACTTCACAAATTACTTTTAATTTGTTATCCTTAAACACAAACATCCATTAATAAAAGTGAACTTGGCACAATGATTATCATCTCTGCTCTGCTTCAGACGTATCAGTCTAATGTAGCTGTGAATTTGCACGATAATTCCGAATTGGACTTTTTTATGGCTAACGGTTGTCAGATTCACGTTTGCCAATTGACGTACAAATTTACGACACCTCAGCAGTGAATCGTGTTGATTCAGGTGCATTAGCGCGGTCGTCGCACCCTCCCACACATGGTCACCCGTTCAGCCAAGCAGGACCGTCTGTTCAAGCACCCCCTTTCACCACTCATTCTCCTCATCTGACCATTCAACCATTTCTACTTTTAAGAAGTCATCCAGACTGTGAGGGTCAACAATACCGTTGGTCAGGCACGACTTTATGTGCACAATGGCTCGACAAAACATGGTCGAGACATTTATTAAGCCTGTATTGGACTGACAGCCACCTCGCGTGAGTGATGCATGCATGAGGGCTCGAGTGAACCAATAACTCACCTCTTTTGTTATTGGCCTCTCTCAGCAATCGCCTGTTACGCCCGCGTACTCATACGCACACAAAGCCACTTGGCTGGTTCGACACTAATAAACGGTCGTGTTCTCTGTCGCCTCCTTTCCCCCTTTCCTCGGGTAGTTACGAGCTGTTAACTAGAGGGTTGCAAGGTAGTGCTAAGTCTCCAGCCACTGCAAGCTGTTGCGTATTTCTCCTGTCTGATTTCTACCCCGAGTAATTAGTGTGGTGTCGCACAGCAGCACCTCAATATCAATGCAACATCCACTACCTCAGCCTACACACAGTAATGCAAGATTAACGACGGGGTTATTTGGCGAAAATCAACACGATTTACAGCACACTCTATTAAATGAGTGTTGACTCATGGCTCCACTCATCGATCTTCTTCGAAAAGCAACTTCCTGTGGCTTATTGGTTTCCATTGGCAATGAAAATTACTGCTAATGTAGGAACATCCTGAGGTTTTATTGCCATAATGGCTTTTTGCAGGTGATTTTCTTGAGCAAAAGAAGCTGCTCATTTTATTGATTCTTTGGTGGCATAAAAATTCATTTTGTATAAGTTTGATACCACTCAGTCGGTTTAGGTTTTGCATCATGAAACACACCAGCTTCACTATTGTCACCACGAAGTTAGATTCAACTGTTAGTGACATGAGAAAAATGGAACTGACCTTTAATGAAGATGCAACCGGTGACGCAGTAAAAGTTGTGGTCGCTGTTTTCAAAATCGCATTGTCGAACGCAAGCAAACAGGTTACGCTCCCCTGAACGCGCTTTGGGAAGTCGGCAAGAACAGCCAACTCGGCAACGAGTAAACTACCAGGTTGGTGAGAATCTAAAGGAGGTTCCATCAGTTTTAACTGTGTCATTTGTGTACACACATTGCGGATGCATTTCGCACACCACATTCGGGCATTTAAAGAGTTCAACTTAGGAAATTTTGACATTTATTTATCTAGATCACATTTTGAAGATGTGTTCTTTATTTTTAACAAAATTAACATTATTATCATATTAAAGTCACACTTCTGAATACTTAAATCGTAAATACGAAACAGTTGTGCATATTTATTGACTACTGACGGTTGTGTACGCATTAACGATACTGTGGTGAATTGGGGGATTACAAACCGTCACTACAGTTCAAGTATGATCGGTTGTCATCTTCACTCACTTCATTTAGTATCCTGATTCATCGATGGTTAAACACCATGAATCTCTGATTTAACTGTCTTAGAGGTACTGTATTCCTTAAGGTAAGCAACGGACAATAGTCAGTTTTCCCTGCATTTAACTGTGAAACAAGTTCACTCTCAACAACAGACCTATCGAGATGTCAAGGTTGTTAAAGCAATTGTTTTCGGCTTACCAGAGCTAAGCAACTTGCCGAAATTCACCGTGTTCCCTGAGCACGTCCCGCGATTCGAATTAACATTTGCAAAGGCAGAATTCAAGGTATTCCAATTAGCAAATCTCAGTCTACTTGGCAACCTCTCGTTTGAAACTGCTGCATGGCACTCCAGTGCGTAGTCAGCCAGAGTGAACGGGGATAATGCTATGGTGACAAGGAATATCCCAGTTCCTCTGAGGGGAAGCCGTCCGATAGGATGTATAGTGAAAGACGAGACGCCAAGAGCTTTTAGCTGATGCCAATGGAAGACAAAAAGAACCTCATTTTCAATATCTCATTTAAAGTTTCCACCGAACACAAGGTAGTTATATGAAGCAACAAATTGCCGAACTAGGCTTGAATATCACAGATTTCTTGGCGACACTTGGTGAGTGGACATGTTGCAAAGTGATATTCTGGCCTGAGACATTTACGTAGAAGGCCACTACACCAGATAATAGCAAGTTCATGGAACGACTTTTGAAGAACGCACTGTTTCTGATTATTTAAAAATAAATCATGTTGTGCCTACACTTCTTGGTGAAGCCAGGGGTAATCATTCTGAATTTATTTTAAATCAAGGCACCTTTGCTGTCCTGATTTTCTGGTAAATTCCTTTGAATGGTGTCAAGGTGGTGTGTATGGCCACGTAATTGCTTGCCCAACGAAGCATAGCTGAATTGAGTTTTTTTCTCGCTTAAATCCGAATTAGCAAGTTATTCTTGCTGTCAACAACAATACTTTGGTTACAACACTTCCTGTGAGCATTTCTTTCGATCAAGACAAAGTAACTGGCGATAGAAATATGAGGACTGTTTAATAATGGAATTATGATTCTGTATGGGTCAAACTCACCACGATTTTGGGAATCGCGAATTTCAGAATAACGTTCCGCCAGTGTGTCTGACCATCAATCGATGTGGCCAGGTGGATGGAAACGCGAGGTGGAGCAGACAACGCGAATTGAAGGTAGAGATGCCAATGCATTGCTGCACATGACTCTCTCGACGTCACTCCACACTGTGTCAATAACACCTCTCCACTACACAATACATACGGTGAGGTATCTTACACATCAGCAAAAAATATCTAGGTAATTTACTGCAACCAAACATTTTGGTTCAATATTAGCGTAAAAAATGAGAAAGGTTCCTTAATATTTGGTAGTTGCTTATGTGCTAGCTCTATATGAACCAGAAATTCAAACTACTACATTTTCTGGTTTCAATAAGTTTCCTTCAACCAAGTGTCACAATTTAAATATACAGGAATAATGAAGCCAGAGAGTACTATAATTTGACCTGTACTCAAGCAGACAAGGCAGCACTTTTCTTGAACCAACCCCTTGAATCAGATTTGTCAAAATCAGGTGAATCAGGATTATCGTTGTCCACGCGAATAACGTAAGTCGTAAAACGGAATTTAGGCTACTAACAGAAACTAGTTGCTCTGACAAAAAGTTTAGTGAAGAAATCGCACGAACATTCTTCGGGACAGCACCGGTTCGCAGTTCGGTTCGACTTTGATTCCATTGTCGAAACGAGAGATTCGTGCGTGCACAGGATAGATGTCTTCAAAAAAGGCGTCAGAGGTTACTCTGAATGTGATTGACGAAGACTTGACAAAAGCTGGAATGACGAGGATTTCTAGGATCTGGGTTGCTGTCCCCATTATAGTCCCATCTGTCGGCGAGTGGACTGCAGCATCGAACTAGGCAGAATGTTACCGCGTTGTGTGCATTTTACAAGTTAAAGCGCCAAATAGTTTACGTATGATATGACTGATTTCTAGCTTCCTGTTTGCAGAAGTCAGCGCATTAAAGTTAGCGATGTGTTTGACACACACAAGGTAGTATGCAATCTATTGTGCTTTACTGGATGGAATCAACAAACTACAAAAATCGTATCTTAAATTCAGCAGTTTTAATTCCTATTCGAAAATGACCAAACTAATAATAGAAAAAATGATTTGCTTTATCGACTCAACAAGAAAGTATGCATGATATGCCATTATAGGTGAAATCACAGTAGACTGAAAATACATTTTAGGCACCTCGAAAAAATGTCATTTGCGAAATTAACACCATCATGATTCACTTGTTGATGAAATCTGACTCACCAATTTTTGAATGTTGTAAGCTGTTGCAACGGCAATTCCATTAGAGCCAGTGATGTCATTTACTTCAAACTTGCACGTCAGCTTTTCGGCAAGCGTTACGGGAACAAAGACGTCGATTTCGAAAATAACCGATGTCTCTTGGAGTGAAGAGTGTTGAACAAAGGCGACTGTCAAACAATGAAGAAATGTGAAATTGAATGGAGCTTCGCTGGATCGAAAAGCAACTTCACTGCAAATCTATGTCCCCGACACTCATCCAATACGAGTCTGGTACACTTTTATGAAGTGTTAACTTTAAAAACGTATGCAACAGTGAATGACATGAATTACGAGGCCACAGAGGCACAAGAAGATAGGAACATTTGACGCCGATTTTAACTAGGTACATGGTGCCTTCTCGTTGACAGTACAAAGTGCGCCATTTGTTGTTGTGATCTTATCATAGCCCTACATTGTTAGTTTCTGGTAGTTTGAGTTATATTCACCGCACGTAAATTGAACAAGATGTGATCAGTCAGACAGGCTCGTGCTTCCAGTGCATATTCTCTGGTGTTGGGCTAAGGAGCGTTCTTTACAAGTGACTGCGAAAATACCTCATGTGTTTCCATTTGACACCGATTTTAAATAAGTAGATGGTGGCTTCTCGTTGACAGTACAAAGTGCGCCATTTGTTGTTGCGAACTTAACATGGCTCTACTTTGCTAGTTTCTGTTAGTTTGAATTACAGTCTTAGCAAGAGAATTGTTCTCGATGTGATCAGTCAGACAGGTTCGTGCCTCACGTTCACATTGTTCTCTAGTCGTGGGTAAAAGCGAATTACAGAAAGGTTGTTGACAAATGTTTTCTATGCAAGTGACTGCAAAAAGGCCTTGTGTCTTTCCAGTCGCAGCTCTTTCACATGCCAACATTTCGCGTCATGCACCTATAATCCACACTCAAAGTCGAAATGTAATAAAGTGTTTGTGGCAAAAGACCTACTGAATCCACCATTGTGACATTTAAACTCTCGGGATCAGACACACGAAGTGCAACAGTGACATACTCTACACGTTCTGATCAATTTAAATTACCGTGTTAATGATATCATTGATTGTTTGTGATCTGCGATCGCTTGTACACAAAATTTCCGCTTAAAGTAAAGAAACGAAACGTCATCGAGCCCCAATTAGCTAAGTCCATGAAATTTAGTACAGCGCAAGAATTGACTTGGGTCGGTCGATCATTAGAGACTGCGTGTGTAAAGCCAACATTTAGCCAATTTTAGCTAAGAAAACATTACTTTTTTTGGAAGAGTGACAATGTCTTTTGAATGTGAATTACCAGGAATGGTGCAAAAGACTATGAGAATCACACTTTTAATACAAAGACCGATGCTGCTGTGACTGTGATCACATGGAAATGAGAACACGGCAGTTGCAAGGCTGTTAACGCAGCATACTTCAGATCAGAAAGACGGTGAGTGCCATACCTGCATTTTCAAATACGCCGTATTAACATACATCCTATGCCGATCATGAAATTCTTTTAGATGATGCGCAGCTTTAAAAGACAGTGCTATTTATTGATTTATGCACCCACCACTTCGATTAAGTGTCATTATCGAAGTCACACGATAAATGTTGTACAGGAGAGGATATAAGGTTGAGCTTACAGACATTCTCGCCAACTTCAATGTTCAGGGAGACAATTGCGCTTGTCTCATTCCTTGATGTCGCATTTCCTTTAGGCACAATCTTCTTTCCAATTGGGAGGGTTGCCTCAATTCTCCTAACCTCAACTAGTGTGCTGTTCACTTGCATTTTAGCCTAAAGTAAAATCACAACATCAATCAAGCGCTGAAATCATTCCTCAGATAACAAAAATTGAGTTCGTTAAAGTGAACACTTTTAGCCACCCCAAATTATCTTGTGCATAATCACTCATCGCGGTTGATTCTGAAGGCGATGGCCATAGGTTGCACAGAGTTACTAGCAAGTGAGTGGATGTTATTTGTCACACTGAAAAATAAACATGCTTACCAACTCAGAGTGCGAATATTTTTAATTAATTAAGATACACAAACAGCTTAAACCGCTCTTTGATGAACAAGTTAGACCAACACCACAAATTCAGCATTTTTGTCCATAAGTTAAGAATCCAGCAAATGCTGCCATAACAGTTAATTATAGTTTGAAAGACCAACTAGGATTAAGTAATAAAGCTTTAGGTTTTGTAATCGGTTCCTTTACTTTACCATTTGGACCGATTACAGGGCATGATAACCAAAATGAATTGAACGCAACGGCTAGTAGTAAAGGTGTCATTTGTGATGCACAGATCGACTTACTTCAACCACACCGACTTTCAGCGGTTGCAAGGCAAACGTGAAAGTGTTGGTAATGCCAGAATAGAGCAAAGTGCTGCTGGAAAGGCTCTCCAGATACAAATCAGTTGGAATCTGTAGGTCGGTATGTGAAATTCTACACGGTACAGTTGTTGGTTCAGTCCTTACGGTATTCACATGTAATTGGACCTCGTAATAGCAGTCAAGCGGCAAAAGCGAAGAAGGCAGTGAGGGTGAAATCAACACGGCGAGAATGTCTAGTCGATGACATCCCTTGGTATTTGAGGCGTTTAACGCACTTAGGTTACTCAATTTCATCTCACTATGCTGCTAAAATCCAACACAGTTTATTTCACAATTTAACAAGGCCACCAATTCCTATTTTTCAACAATCCTTATTTGTTTTTCGTGGTTGTTCTTTACTATTTCCTAGTGTTTAATCTTCAACTCAACACTTCTTGGTGTAACATTGGGACTAATGACATCAATCGCAGTCCAGACCTAGCTTATATGGAAATGCTCAAAATAACACTCGATATCAATGCACCACTTGCTGTAACAGCTACTTGCCTATATTCAACGTCACCATATTCAAATAGTGCAGTCCAATCATCTTTAGTTAGATTAAAACTTGTGCTAATTAGCTCTCCATAATTGCCTATACAGAGTAAGCCGCTTGCTCTTAACGATTACGGATAACAGGAATGAGTGGCATTTGCTTACATTCGTGAATTCAGTGATAGGCAAGTCAGCGTCATCCAGATTGATTCCGGGGCTTGCGAAGGTCACTCCAATTAAGTGAATTGAACCATCTGCAATCACTTCTTGCCGTTGGAAGGGCCCTTGAATTCGCAAAACGCCACTGTGAGTAATGCC